CAGAGTTCCTCAGCTTTTGTACTTTGTGGCCACAGACCCATCTGGTCCTCAGCCCTCTCTGTCTTAGCTGAGGAAGGAAGCGAATCACTCTACTGAAGCTTCCGGTCTTTTCTCAGGTCCAAAGAGAGGGTGTACAGCTCTCTGTGGCTGTTGTGGCCCCCTGTTGGCCCAGGGGACCAGAGCTGAGGAGTTCTTGCAGACGAGTTTGGCCTGCCCGGTGTAGCTCTCACCTCTCAAGTATGAACAACCAAAGAAAAATTGCAATCCAGTGGTGACCACTTGACCCATCGGGCCTGTTGGGTGGTCAGTACCTAATTGGTCTCAGGTTTTCAGCCAGCTGTTTCTTGAAAGGTGTCAGGAGATTATTTGTGGCTGTGTGGCTTGTTCCCTGGGGTTCTTATTTCCTGATTGCACTGATGCTCTCTTAGCGCTCTGTCATTATACAGTAAAACACATTACGGAGAGCTGTTAAACACTGCAGCCTCTAGTCTCAAGCGGTACCCTGAGAACTGAGCAGAACCATTAAACCTAACAGCGCCCGAGCTGCAGACATCTGCAAGAAGAGAAGGAGACTCTCCCAGGCTGATGACAAACAGTGTCTGTAGGTGATAAAGTACCTGCTGAGCCCCCCCTCCCAGTCCAGACAGCCCTCGGCTTTAGGGATTTAGCATCTGAAGGGAGAACAGAGAGAGAGGACGAGATCTTGTCAGGGACAGGGATGATGGATTAATGGGGTTTGTGACTCACTGCCGGATAAGAAGCGATCGCGCACCAGCAGGGGGGGTGATGACGAGCTGGGGGGCGTGACAGCGCGGGGCAGAGGGGGTAAGGGGATCAATCGATAGCGCGCTGGAGGCACGATTCAGAGCCAGCGTCAGTCTGCTGTGCGTCAGGAGCCCCTCCAGCGGAAGCGGGAGGAAAGGCATTGTGAAATCCCAGCTCGAACCCCTGGCCGGCAGAGCCGGTCAAGGCACCGGGTGAACCGGGCTGCACCCCACGCCTACCCCCTTCCTGAAAAAAAAACAACCCATCCAGGACCGGTGATTGGAGACGTGAACGGATCTGTGTGTCGTGTGCAGGCTGACCTGGTCCACACCATCGGAGAGAGCGCCGCCCTGGGGGCCGCGGGCGCCGTCGTCTGGGAGAAGTTCTTCTCCACCAAGACCCAGGTACCGAGAGAGCAGGGGGGCGAGAGAGCAGGGGGGTCAGAGAGCAGGGGGGCGAGAGAGCAGGGGGGTCAGAGAGCAGGAGGGCGAGAGAGCAGGAGGGCGAGAGAGCAGGAGGGCGAGAGAGCAGGGGGGTCAGAGAGCAGGGGGGCGAGAGAACAAGGGGGCGAGAGAACAAGGGGGCGAGAGAGCAGGGGGGTGAGAGAGCAGGGGGGTGAGAGAGCAGGGGGTAATAAGAGACCCCGTTCAGCCTCCCGGTCCCTGTGTTGGCAGAGGGGCTGCTGGGAGCTGGCGGACTACGTGCGCGGCGTGCTGGGGCCCTACGTGGTGAACGTGACCACGGCGGCGCGGCTGTGCGGCGAGGGGCTGTGCCAGGGCAGGGGCCGGTGTGTGCGGAG